CTGGGTTTAGATGGTTCTGAGCTGGCTCCAGCCGCTTAGCCCTGGGAATCGGTTCGGGGGGGCTGGGAATCCCGCAAACACCAACCCTCTTCCCCCCCCCACAGGTGGTGCCCACGGTCCTGCAGACCCTGCACCAGCTGAGCCAGGCCAGGGGGGCGTCATCGCTGCGGGCGGAGGAGCTGGACCTCCGCATCTCGGACTCGCTGGGGGAGGCCGGGCTGCTGGAGGCCCTGCGGGGCTGGGAGGAGCGGATGGAGAGCCAGCCCTACGGCTAGCCGGACGCTCGCGCTGCCCGACCCGACCGAACCCAGGCGTCCGGGCTCTTTCCCTCCCCCCTGCTCTAACCACTAGACCCCACCCCGAGCTGGGAGAGTGTCCCCCTTGTCTGTACCATCAGGCCACCCTGGCAGGGGGACTGGTTAGCTAGGGAGGCGGCCCCTCTGGGGTGGGACCGCCTGGTTCTCGTAGAGCCATAGGGCTAGAAACGCCCGCTAGGGTCAGCAGCTCTAAGCCCCCGTCCAGCCCAGACAGGTGTCCATGCGGCCCCCCTCGCCCCGGCCGTTGTCCGACTTTTCTTACCCCCTTAGGACGTTTTCCTCTCACTGGGCTCTGCCCGAGGGTGACGCCGTCGCCTCTTGTCCTGCCCTCCGGGGCAGCGAGAATGGGTCCCGGGCGTTTTCATGGCAGCCTTTCCAGCCTTCTCTTCTCCGAACTTCACACACCCGGTCCCTTCGGGGGGGGGGGGGGGGGGCTCCCGCCGCTTTCCTCACGGGGGTGACCGGACGTGGACACGGGACTCCAGCCAAGGCCTCACCGGAGCCGTGCGATACGATCGCACCCCCAGGGGGAATTCTGCGCCGAACCATTAACGATTCCGCGCCCCGTGTTTTCCAATTCTGCCTGGTTTTATTTGTCAAAATAACACTCTGTAATCACTCCACTTTCACCGATTTTCGTCATTTATTTCAAAATACCGGGCAGCAAGTCCGTCTGTAACAATACAGACACACACCAAAAAGAAAAAGGACTCGGGAAATGTTTTTTTTTGACAAATAGATTCCTTACTCAGCAAATTAACACAGAAATGTGAGTAAATTCGATTCAACTACACGAGAGAGCCGTATTTCCCGCCGCGCCAGGGGTCGGAGGAGCGGAGGGAGAAGGAAGGAGCCTGTGAGTGAATCTGGAGGGTTGCGGGTGGGAAAAATATGGAACAGGGTTTGGGGGGGGGCAGGTAGATTGTTAGGGAGTTGGGGAGGCTCCCCCAGGCAGACCATGACTGACCCCCTAGACTCTCCCATCCAGTCAGGCACATCTGCCCCCAATCCTAGGTGTCCCTGCACCCCCCCATTCAGCCCAATGCTGTCACCCCACTAGCTCCTGAACCCCCACCCATGTCCCTCCCAGTAGCCCTTCTGAAGCCCAGTTTGTGACACCCCCCCCCAGTAGCCCCATGTGCCCCACACTGTCTGTGCAGAAAATCCGAGTTGTGCGCCAGGCATGAACGCTGCGCGTGCGAGCGCCGGCTGTGCTCTGGTAATGCAAACCCAAACCTGCATTTGCTTTTTCTTTTGCAACAGCATCGCGTTGCTGACTCACGTTGAGGCCGGGATCTGCCCCAGCTCCTTCTCCGCAGGGCCACTGCCAAGCCAGTTCCCCCCCCTTCTGTATTGGTGCAGCGGGGTTTTGTTCCCTCAGCGCAGCACCTGACACTTGTCTCTGCTGAATTTCGGTTTGTCGGCTAGAGCCCAGTTCTCCCATTTATCAAGATCCCTCTGAACCGTAGCTCCATCCTCCAAGGTGTTGGCAACCTCCCAGTTTCGTGTCAGCAGCAGACTGGAGGCACCTGCCCTCGAGTCCCACAGCCGACGACCCCACTCCCTCATTCCATTCCTAGCCACTTGTTTAACCAATTCCGGATCCCGCATTTCTCCGGCTTCCTCGGCGGGTTGTCATGTGGGTCAAAGCCTTGCTAAAGTCCAGGTAGATGATGTCCACCGCGTTCCCCCAGCCACCGAAGCGGTTACCGCGCCAGAGACGGAAATCGAGCTGCCTTGGCAGGGTCGGTTCCTGGTGACTCCATGCTGGCTGCTGGCCATCAGCCCTTTGTCCTCCAGCCGTTCGCAAATTCCCAGGGATCGAAGTCTGGCTGACTGGTCGAGTTCCCCGGCGCCTCCTTTTGCCCCTTTCTAAAGACGGGCACCGCGTTGGCCCTTCTCCAGGCTTCCGGGACTCTCCTGTCCTCTGGGAGTTTGCCGTTATCACCACAGTGGCTCCGAGGTTTCTTTGCCCCCGGCCCCCCGACTTGAATTCATTCCGATTGGTCAGAAGATCTCGGACTTGTCCCGCTCTGCGTCCCGTCCCCTGGGGTAACGTCGCTAGGAAGACGGGAGCGAAGCTGGCTGGGAGCAGCGTCGCTTTCCCATCATCTCCCGTTCCCAGCTCGGCTTCCCCCACGCCCCCAGCGTTGGAGGGCGCCCCTACCCGCTAGCTCCATGGGGACATGCCCCTCCTTCCATTCGTACGGGGACTGCTCTGGGGTGGGGCACGGGGGCTGGTTCTATGGGGACCCCTGGATGGGATGTGGCCCCTCTGGAGTAGGTGCGGGGGCTGATGTCTCCCCAGGGGGCAGCAGAGAGAACCTGCTCCAGGAAAGGGTGGGGTTTAGGGGGACTCCTTGTGCCTTGGCTGGGGGGCAGCCCCCAATCCTGCCCCCTAGTCCCAGCCCCCCAGACCTGGTATCACACGTGTCCCCCGCCCGAAGAAGAAAATCCAGAGGTAAGTGGCTAACGCAGTTTATGAAGAGACAGAAAGGGAGATACAGAGATGGGGGGCATCTGCACCAGGAGAGCTGGGGGTCGAGGGGGGCTGGATGAGAAGGTCCCCCCATTCCCCAGGGGGAGGAATCCAAATAAAAACATGCTAACATGAGTAAAATGGGGGAAGTCGGGGGGACAGTAGCCCACGCACAGGCCCCCCCCAGCCAGGCCCGCCCCCCCTCCCCAAGTCCAGCCCAGCCATATGTACAGAATAAAACTGTTCCTGTTTAAAACCATTCAGAGTCTGGGGGGGCTGGGGGGAGGTCACGAGCGCCTCCCTTCCCTTTGCATAAGGGGGTCCGAGTTAGCTAGAGACGGAGATGGGGGGGTGGGCCCCCCGCCGGGCTCAGAGGGGGGGCATGGGTAGCGAGGCCTTGTCCAGCCCCCCCAGGTCCTTGGGGCCCCCCGGCTCCTCCTCCATGCGCCGGCCGTGTTTCCGGAAGTATTTGTAACGCTGAACGTACGCCCGTACCAGGTTGTTCACCTTCACCGGGTTGATTTCCCCGCTCCTGCTGTGGCAGATCTGGGGGGGGGAGACGACACAACGGGCGTCAGTGAGGGTGGGGGGCACCAAGCCTCAGCCCCCCAGCCCCGCCGGTGCCCCACCGCCCCACCTTGTGCACGGCTTTGCGCAGGATGTCCTTGTATTCCTCCTTGGTGATCTCCTTCTTCTGGTAGTAGGGCTTGATGGCCAGCTTCACCTCCTCCACCGCCCGCTCCTGCGTGTGCAGCTTCTTCAGGTACTGGGGGGGGGAGCAGGGGTCAGCACACTGGGGAGGGGCCCCCCCATCTCACAGCCTGGGACAGACCCCCCACCACCACCACCATTGCTGCCAAGCTCACGACCTCCCCAGGGCATGGTGGGACCCCGCCCAGCCTTGGCCCCCTCCTCAGTGCTCAAACATCCCCCCCACCACACACACACACACTAACCTTATCCGTGTCCCCGCGCCCGTCGGAGCTGGTGCTCCCGTCCCGCTTGCCCAGGTCGCTGCCGGAGCCGGTGCCGAAGAGTGTCCCGCTGCCAGTGCCCACCGAGCCCGGGCCGAGGGGGCCAGGCAGCCCGGTGGGGGTCGGGGGGGTGGAGCTGCAGCCCACCAGGGGCAGGGAGCTGTGCAGCAGGTAGGGGGCGGCCGTGTGGGTGGGGGGCGGCGCGGGCGCCTGGGAGCCCGCCAAGGACGTGGAGGGTTTGGTGTGACTCAGGATCTAGGGGGAGAGAAGGTGATTAGTCTCAGACGGGGGCCCCAGCACTGGGGTGGGGCAGCCAGGGACCCCTCGCCCGGTGCTAGGATGCGGCCCCTCCGGGGGGGCTGGGTAGCTGGGGTCCCCTTGCCCAATGTGGAGACGGGGCCTCTCTGGGGGGGGAGAGCGGGGGGGCTGGGTAGACAGGGATTGGGAGCAGACAATCCCCCATGTGGGCCTTCAGCCAGGACGCCGGGGTTCCCAGGCCAACTTTCGGCTCAGTGAGCAAATTGGTGTCATGACATGGCCGGGGAGAGCACCCCCTATTGAGCCCCGCCCCACTCCCTGCAGCACAGCGCCCCCTACTGCCCTGCCCCGCTCCCTGCAGCACAGCGCCCCCTAGCGTCACACGGGGGCACCGGGCCCAGCCCGGCCGACCAGGGAGAGTGCCCCCTACTGTCCTGCCCCACTCCCTGCAGCACAGCGCCCCCTACTGCCCTGCCCCGCTCCCTGCAGCACAGCGCCCCCTAGCGTCACACGGGGGCACCGGGCCCAGCCCTGCCGGCCGGGGAGAGCGCCCCCTACCTGGTTGGTGGCCTGGATCAGTTCATGGGCCTTGGCCCGGCTCGCGAGGTTGGCTTCCTCCATCTTGAAGAGCAGGGCGGTCACTGGGTGAGAGACGGCGGGGGGGGAGGGGGGTGTCAGAGCTGGGGTGGCCCTCACCCCACTGCTTCCCCCACGACCCCCCATGCACTGGGGGACCCAACCCCCATGCCCTGCCTCCCCCATCCCGGCCGGGAGCTCCCCCTCCGCCCCCCACAACCCAGCCAGCCCCCTGGGAGCACCCCTCTCCCCATCACCTACGTGCCAGGACGCCGCTCGTGGTGCAGTCCACACCCCCCTGCAAGTTCCAGGCCATGGGGGCCGGGGCGGGGCGCGGGCGGGCTCCTCCTTGGGCTCGGAGAGGCTGTCGGCCTGGGGCTCGCCCGCCGGTGTCCTCTGCTGCTCGCCGGGCACAGGCACGGCCACCTCCTCGGGCAGGAAGGAGACGTCGGGCGTCTTGCAGCTGCTGTCCACCGTCTGCGAGTCGGGGGTCAGTTCCTGTTCGGCCGGGGCGGGCGGCGGCTTGGGCGGGGGGCTGAGTGGGGAGCCGGAGCCCCCCGTCGGCTCTGGGGCGGGAGCGGGCGGGCTCCCGGCACCCTGGCTGCAGCTATCCGCCTTTGACTTCTTCAGCCCCGTCTTGGCTTTCATCTTCTTCTTCTTCTTGGCCTCCGAGGGCCCCTTGGTCTTGGCCCCCGGCCCCTTGGCCTTCTTCAGCCCTGCCTTGGCCTTCAGCCCCTTGACCTTTTTGGCCTTCACGCCCGGCTCCTTGGCCGGCTCCGCCTTGGCGTCGGCCCCGGGCCCCTTCTCCTCCGGCTTGAGGAAGGGCGAGCGGCTCTCCTTGTCCCGGCTGAATTTGATGCCGATGGAGCCCCCTTCCTTGCCGGAGACCGTGGTGCTGCTGACGCCCTCGCGGATCAGCACCGCCACCTTGGACTGCAGCTTGACCTTGCGGCCCGAGCTGCCCGCCTTGCTGCTGTCCTTGTGCCCGGCCTTGGCTTTCCGGGGGGGCTTCTCCCGCTCCGGCCGCGACTTCTCCTTCTCCGCCTTGCCCGCCTCGGGCGCCGACCGGCCCGGCGCCTCCTTGAACCTCTTCTTGGACTTCTCGCGGGGCGCGGGGCGCTCCTCCGGGTACCCCCGCTTCCGCTCCTTCTCCTTGGGCGGCTTGGCCTCCTCCTCCAGCCGCTCCTTGCGGGGCGGTCCCCCTTCGCCCTTGCCGCCCAGGTGCCGGGGCCCCTCAGCAGGCTCGCGGTCTGAGAAGCAGCCCTCGAAGCTCAGCCCCTCCGAGTCGTAGAGCACCTCCCGCTTGGCTGGCTCCGGGGAGCCGTCCTGCCGGCTG